GGTCTGCCCCCTTCCCCATGGGCGACAGGCCGTAGCTTTCCCTCCCCTCAGCCCAGGGAGGCTGCTCAGGATCCCTGGTCAGGAGGGGAGCTGAGGGGAAGGGCACGGCTAGGGCTGCAGCTGGCCGCCGTCTGCTTCCTACATTGGGCTGTAGCCCGCCTGCCCCCTCCTGCTTCGGTCCGTGCCCTGGCCTGGCTCCGGGCGGGTTCGGCCCCTGAGGCCAGCCAGGCTCGAGGCAGCTGGGGAAGAGGCGAGTGCAGCAGGCAGCGTTTCCTGCCATGTGGGGCTCTGTGGGGCGTGCAGAGGTGTCACCGCAGCAGACTGCCAATCTCCCAGCCAGGCCCAGAGGCTGAAACGCTTGGTAGCGGCTGGCCCAGGCCAGGGCTAACGTTCAAACACCAGGATAACAGCAGCACTTCCATGGCCCCCTGGGGCAAACTCCCCTGGCCAAGAATGTGCCTCTGAGGGGGACCCGGCCATGATGGGGCCCGGGCTGCGGGCCCTTGTCTGCTGGCTGGGGACTGTCCTGGGACCCTGGCTGCAGCCACTGGCCAGTCGTGGGCTGGGAGGGTAAGTCCTGGGGAACAGCCCGTCTCCCGCTGCTCACCCCTCCCTCTGCCCCCAGAGCCCAAGGTGCAGAAGAAGATGGACCTGCCCAAGATGAACCTCCCTGCCAGCAAGAAAGCGGCTCCAGCCCCTCCCGTCCCTGCCAAGACCAAACTGGCCTCCAGCCTTGCCGGCAGGTGAGGGGCCCCTGCCCCCTTCCCTTGTGCAGAGGGCTGGCTCTAGCTGGTGCAGGAGGTTGTTGCAGGCTGGCGGGGGGGGGGGGGGAAATGTAGCGCTGTGTTAACACCCCCTTGTGGGGTGGGGGCCTCTTCTCGCAAACCTTCCAGGGGTTAATCTTGGTATTCGGGGCGGGCGCCTTCCTCCCTGCCCATCTGCGCTCAGCCCCCTGCCTCTGGCACCGCTAATGCCATCACCAGCTTTGCATGTGGCTGTTAAACTTCTGCAAGGGGCGGAGCAACTGAGTTAGGCCCCTCCCTCCTGCCTGGCCCCCCAGGTGGGCAGGGAAGTGACAGGAGTGGGATGGGCCCAGCACGTGGCCCAAGGGGAGGCGGGGAAGAGGCACGAGAGGGCAGGGGCTCTGTGGGCTGCAGCCCCCTAATGTGCAGGACCGTCTCTGCCGTTGCTAGGCCCCCCTGCACCCCGACGAACTGTGTCCCAGCCAGTGCGGAGAAGAGCAAGACCAAGGACCCAGGTAAGCCTGTTGCCACCTGGCACGTTCCCATCCCTCCCTTCACTGGGCGGGCGAGTAGCATCTCCCTCCGGTGTCCAGCAGCAGAGCCCTGAGCCGAGGGGGAGCTGCCCATTGGTAGCTGTGACTGGAGCCTGCATGGATGGAGGAGTCTCTGCCCGGGCAGGACTGAGGGCATTGGGGCAGGGCTGGCACCTGCCCTGGGTTCTGAGCACCCCCGGCAGGCGCCGCTCTGGCCTGGGCTGCTCCTGGGCTAGGAAAGTGAGGACATTGCTGCTGTTTGCATGTGAGGAGCCCACACGATGTAACAGGCCTCCCGGTGCCAGCTCGCCCAGCTAATCCACGCGGTGTGGAACCCAGGAGTCCTGCCGGCCGGTCCCCTGCTGCAGCTGCCCAAATCTCTCCCTCCCTTCCGGAGCAGAAAGGGGGACCTGTCTTGGGAGGGCAGGGAGCAGCTCAGTCCCCTTACAGCCCCGGACGTTCCCAAGAGCTTGGCACCTCAGGCGGGTGTTGAGCTCTGTGGCTGCCCCGCTGGCTGGTCTTTGGGCCACCTGGCTGCCCTGTCTGGCGATAGCAGTGTGGGTCGCCCCGGCCCGAGGGTGCACGGGCAGGGC